CCTTGGACCTTGACCTTTCATGCAAAAGCAAGTACCTTCACCACAGACTAACTGATGCTAAATTATGCAACTGGAGACATATTCCTTCAGCTTAAATTTTTGCCATAATTTGAAATGCAATTACACTCAAAGGGTAACATTTGAAATCAGGCAATAGACCAACGGGGAGATAGGTTTCATGGAGGGAGGCAAGTTGGACAGAGGCCCTTCTCTATACCCTCAAATCAAATTTTGTATTTGTCTGTTTGCTTGGCTTGCTTGTAAGATTTGCCCTGATAAGGAAAAAGAACTAAATCCTCTTACACTGACACATCCAAATAACCTTGTGACAAGGGATCAAAGGAGCTCAGGTGGATTTGTACTCCACAGGTATAATATTTGCCTTGACTGATTTGTCATTGTGCGCAAACACTGGCTATTACTTTTATGGCCAGTAGAAGGGCAGAAGCCAAAGCTCTGGCAGAGAGTAAATAACATAGTCCACAGTGACGAAAGAAGACATTAAAAGCTTATAAGCAAGGAGGTGCTGCATGCAGAACCCATCCTTATGATTTATAGCATGCATATGTCCCCTCCCTGTAATTGGAAGCCAGCCCTTCTTAAAATGGGAAAATTGTGGTCATTTTATAGGCTTTATTAAGACCTATTGCTTGTGAAAGTGCACATAGAAAAGCAAGAGGCCTGGAAAAATGACACTCTGGTCCACGGTGCTCAAGAGTGTGTTTATCTGCATGTGGCTCCATGACCCCTGCCTCAGAGGCAGCCCCATGTAGGGTCCAGGACACTGGAAGGGCCAATTCAAACTCCTCACAACAGATTCAGACACCACTCCCTGTGTGCTCCCCAACTACCATGTAGCAGACATGCCTACTGCCATGACCCACCCCAGGATCTCAGGCTGGATTTATCTAACCTCTAAGCTCAGGTGTGGGAGGCGCCTCTCCTTGCCATCCTACAGGTGTCCAAGGAATTCTGGAAATATGTGTTTGTAATGGGCTGAAGGGTAACACCAGCATCAATATGTGAGGTAATGTAATAACTACTTACACATTTAAACACATTCAAACACAGAATAATCCTACAAAATATATACTGTTGTTAGAGGCAGAAAAATATCATTAGATAGGCAAAGCTAGGAAGTTAGTGGTGGAGACAGCACTCAAACATACATAGTCTGAGTTCACAGTCTGGTGGCATTGGTAGTCAATTGCCCTCTGGAAAAGCCAGCTGGTTCCTGTTGTTAAACAAGAAGTGTCTAGTGAGCTGATGATTGGGGGTGAGGGTCAGGTGCCTGGAGAGGATGACTCGGGAGTTCTGGAAGTGTAAACAAGACCCAGGCAAACTCTATGGGCTTAGCTCAGCCTGCGGCCCCAAAGGTGGACCACTCTTTCATCTAGACAGCAAATTTATGACCTTTCCTCACTTTGGGCTCCCCACATTCTCTTCCCTGTCATCCAATATTAAAGTCCTGGTCTCCCTTTTTATGGCACAGAAAGGGCCAGGAGAAAGAGACCACAAAGATGGCTGCACCCACAGTTGAAGCCTAGTTCCCATCATCAACAGCACACCAGACTGCAATATTCTCTTGTTAAGTATAATCCATCCCACAGACCATGACCTTTAGGGTAGGTGATGAAGTAAAATAAAAATAAGACTAGTTTGTCATCATGTCAGAACACAGATGAAAACAGGATTGTTATACAAAACCACAAAAATGGTCAAACATCCCCTTCTCCTGGTGAACTTGAGTGACTGCCTCATTTTCTTCTTTTTATTTTTTATTTTTTTGTTTCATTAGGGTTTTTCTTCCCCTTAGCTTTTTTACATACACATAAAAGAATCAAACATTTCACAATAACTGACAGTCTTTTCTTTGCTCCCTGCTCCAATGGTCCCCATGGAAACTGTACAAGAAGCCCCCTATTGAGGCAGATCTATTTGGTAGGAAAAAGCAACTTAAAGAGACTTAGGAGAGGATGGCTTCAATTCTTCAACCTCGAAGTTACTTGCCCACCACAATTCCACTGCACCACTTTGCTACAATGCCTCTTCTTTACCAGTTAAAACTTTAACCTCACTCCATTTCTTCTGTTTCTAGGTAAAATTCCTTAAGGGATCCAATTGTAGAGTTGCCCCATTTTTCTGACAGTGCCCTATTCAGAGTGTATCCTTGCTTCCTTGAACTCTCCCCAAAATCATCTTGCAGAAATCCAAATCCTATAACAGAGCCCTCCTGACACTCACTGACATGGCCTACGGCTCCCCATGGTGTGCAGTCTTGTTTGCTGCATCCAGCACCGTCAACCCGACATTGAATGCAAGCACATCTCAGATGAAGAAGCTGCTGAATGAAGAGCCTCAACAGCCATTACAACTAAAATCCAATTCATTCAGAACTATATATATATATATATATATATATATATATATATATATATTCATAGCTCAGCCTGCGGCCCCAAAGGTGGACCTCTCTTTCATCTGAACAGCTGATCTCTCTTTACTTTGGGTTCCCACATTCTCTTCCCCATTATATATATATAATTATATATATATAAAGTTTCCACTTCCTTTGAGGGCTAGGATGGCGCTGCTTTCAGCAGCACAATTACAGACGCTCCACTTCCTGGAGGAGAGGAAAAGTCGTTTCTGATTTATGTTTTGCTTGCGGAATGTCACCACCACCACCCTGTCACCATTTTGCTAAGGATAAATGAGTCTTAAGTGAATCGTTAGAAAAACCAAAGGGAAGTGACTATTTGTTTTCCATGCTGGTGTAGTGACTGATACTTGATTTTCCAAGTCTCTACCTCTAGATATATCATCTGTATCTCATATTTTTGAAAGCATTTGACAAAGTTATTTGTAGGTAAAAACCCAATGTTGTAAAGCAGTGTCATAGTTATCAAGATAAAAGTGAACCCAGGCAGCTAAGGAGCTCAGAAGAAGGGGATTTTTGTTGACATGGAGAGGCCAAGACTTCTCAGTGCAGAGTTGAGTAGTTGTTAGCCAGAAATGTGAACTGGAAGGCATCCTATCTAATACAGGGGGAATATGCTAATTGAGCATCACTCCATCACAAAGATGGCTGCACCCACAGTTGAAGCCTAGTTCCCATAAGAGCCTTAATGAGCAATCAGCAGGGACATGAGGCTATTCCCTCTCCCGCCCCCATGGGGCTTGACAGTGGACCTTAGACCATGTCTCCCACCCGGCAGGGCTTGACAGGGGACCTCAAGGTGTACTTCCCATCCTGTGCTGGGCTAGGGGACCTTGGGCTACTCCCACCACCTGGCAGGGCTTGACGGGGCACCTTAGACTACATCCCCCACCCAGGTGGGGCTTGATGGAGACCTCAGACCTCACCCCCTGCCCTGGCATCAGGCCAGGGAACCTGAGGCCACGACCCCTGCCCAGTGGGGCTTGATGGGGGACCTCAAGGTGTGCTTCCCATCCTGGTGCTGGGCTAGGGAAATTTTGGCTGCACCCCCATCTGGTGGGGCTTGACAGGGGACTTCAGGCTGTTCCCCCCACCCTGGCACCAGGCAGGGGACCTCAGGCCATACCTCCCACCCAGCACGGGCCATGGGACCTGAGGCTGCGCCCCCTGTCTGTCTGGGCTTGACAGCGGCTCTCGGGCCTTGCTCGCCATTCAATGGGGCTTGATGAGGGACCTCAAGGTGCACCCCCAGTGCTGGGTCAGAGGAACTCAGGCCAGACCCCCTCACCCAGCGGGGCTTGTCAGGGGAGCTGAGGCTGTGCATCCCTCCGTGTGCTAGGCCGGGGATCTGAGGCTGTGTGTCCCTCCCCCCGCCTGGTGGGGCTTGATAGGGGACCTTAGGCCATGCCTCCCACCCAGAGGGGCTTGACAGGGGATCTCAGGCTGTGACCACACCTGGTGGGGTTTGACAGGGGACCTCTAGGCATGCCCCTGCCCCAGTCTGAGCAGGGAGACCTCAGGCCACGCCCCCTGTCCTGGCACCAGGCCAAGAGGCCTGAGGCTATGTTCCCTGCCAGGCAGGGCTTGACAAGGGTCTGGGTCTATCCCAGTGGGGGTGGGGGGCGGCCAGGTCTGGGTCTCACGATATTCTGAGGTGTATGTGGGTGGGCGGGGACTTGATTCTGGGTCTTGTAGTGAGCCCCAGACTCTGACAGGAGGAAAGTTTTCATATACATTTTACTAATTTTCTTTCATCTCTGACACTTCTCTTATAGAGAAAGGGCAAATAGAAATATTAAATTATTTCCTCTAATTAATCCCCTTTTAAAGAGCATGAATTTTGTGCACTGGGCCAATAGTTTCAAATAAAGGAAGCCACTTTGAAAAAGTGGTCAGATTCCTTGGGAGGAATTTCTATAGATCAGTTTGGTTCTCTTGAGAAACCTTCCAAAGCTTCCAGGTTGAGTTAGTTTATTTTTAGAAAACATGTGATATATTTACATACCAATAAGTTTATATACAATGTGCTGTTACTGTTTCCTACGTATTTGTCTCTTACATGAGAGGAAATGTTCTGGAACATTCCTGGTAACAATATGGTGTATGAGACTGAGAACCAATTTTAAGTCAGATAGAACTGGCCCTACCATTTATTGATCATGTAATGTAAACAACCATCTGGCAGCACAAAGCAGGTGCTCAGAATATTTTTGAATGATTACATTGTCATTTGACCCTATGACTTTTAATTCCTTTGAGTGTCAAATAAAGATGACACCTGCATGGGAGCAGGCAGACAACTGAAGACATGATAGAATGATATGGATGAGCAGACAGTGCCTGGCATTTGGTGGCAGCATTAGCAATGTTGAGAAGCAGATTGATTCAGGATGTGCTCTGGAGGACCTTCTACTGGGTTAGGTGTGAAAAATAAAAGAAAAAGAAAAAACAAAAGTCACTCCATCTTGGTTTTAACATTCCGTTCCAAATGCTAGGTATGATATAGGAAAAACTGGAATATATGCTCCTAAGTAAAGTATCTAGTAATCAGTTAGGTGCAAGTGTTGCAGAAGACCAGAGAAAACCAAGGACGCTTCAAAGAAGAGAAGGGACTCTGTTTAATACACTGGTGGACTCAGGGAACAGCCTTCCAAATCTGAGTGAAGAAACAGGCATTGGAACTTTCCTTATATCTCCCTGTAGACTTTGTCCCGCAGATATGGATTATGCTTCTAGTCCTTTTCTTGGGCCTTGCAAGAAGGCTCCCAGGTGTTGGGGGTCTCTGGGCCATATCTGATGGTCTGCCCTGGCACCAGTGTTAATAACCCTCCCTCTGGGGCAGTGCACTGTCCACAGCTCCATGGTCTCTGTAACCAGCTCTGCAAGACAAGTATCTGGGAAGGAGGTAGTGACTGAATTATAGGTTATCAAGAATGTACACTGAGCTTGCTGGCATGGATTCAGATCACTATCCCCCAAATATCAGGGTTACATTGGAATTAATCTTTTTTAGCCTTCTCACAAGATTCTGGCTCTATATGGACTTGCCTTCTCTACTTACTTTATTATTGAATGTGGGTAGCCAACACCCTATTGCCTAAAGTTTGAAGTTCTCAATTGCCTCTCTCCTCATGGACTCGTGAAAAATGCACACATCATCTGGACGGGTTGAAGTAACCCAAAGAGACCAAATGATTCTTGCAAAAACCTTGAATGACATTTTCAGGGATGCAAGCCTAGCTACTTCCTAAAATGCAGGGTCAGAAAGTCCAGCACTAAAAGATCTCTGAGCCAGAGGGAGAGGTTGGGAAATGAGGACGGTAAGAGGAGAAAATGTAGAGAAGGAATCAGGATTGGTCACTACCTCCCTTTGTTTCTTCTTGCTGGCAGTGACAAAGGGAAATTCATATAATGCACTGTTATGCCCAGATTTCGTGATCCCCAAATATCACCAGGGAGCCGAATCTGATGCAAAGGCAAAAGAGCCATTTATTCAGGGCTAGCCAGAGCTCTGTCTCACTTACACTGACAGCGGGGAGGCGGAAGAGAGCGTGCTTCAACAGATCAAAGGGTTTTATAGGGCTCTGGGGGAGATGTGGTGATGTCACTTCTTTGGCTGACCCTGATTGGTTGGGTGAGGGCTAGGGTCCAGTTACACAATGACATACAAAATGGAGGATCAGGAGATAGCCCCGCCCTGCCCTTTCAGCACCTTCCCAATTCTCTGGCTCCTTTCCTTGTTCCATGGCCCAGGTGAAACAGTGGTGTAACCACAGCTCTTTTTGATATTTTCTGGTGAGAAACAAGTGAGACTCTAGGTTTTTGTGGATTCTAAAAATCTTTATGGCCTTTTTGATTCATTAGGACCTTGCACTACTCTCAGTTAATCATTTTGTTTTCTTTCCCAATGATACTGAATTTTTGGACTGGAACTCAGATTCTTTGTCCACCGGAATTGAAAAATGAATCCATGGACAGAAAGTGGTACAGCAAAGGTGAAGATTTCTTGAAGAACAAGAATAGACTCCCAAGTAGGGAGGGGGAAAGGGTCCCAGTGAGTACCTCTTCCCAATTGCTTATAAAGGCTACAGATCCTGGTGTCTTGATATCCCCTCTGATTGGTCACTAGTCCCTTAGACTGGTTACTATAATAACTCCTGGGCTCAAAGGTGGAACCTCACATGGGACATGTGAGGTTCTTCCCCCTTTCTCCTCCCCCTTCCTTCTGAATGAAGGACTTCCTTCTCTTTATTTGTAAATGTGACCTTCCTTGGCTACTTCCAGTTCCCTTGTCTTATGGAAATATACCAGTTGCTGCCTCCTTGTTTTATGGAAATATAACTGCCCCTGTCTTCCTTGTGTTATAGAAATGTACCTTCTCCCAGTCTGCAGCCCCGAGCTTTTCCAGGACCCCAATTTTAAAAAAAATTCCTAAGCCTGCCTGTGTTCCCCCCAAATCCCTGCTTCACCAACAGATGTGTGTGTGTGTGTGTGTGTGTGTGTGTGTGTGTGTGTGTGTGTGTATTTGTTGTTTTTACATGGTCTTCTGCTGACAGGACACTGGCAAGTAAAAATAGCAAGCACATAGGCATCTGTGTCTCTATTTAGAAGTATCATAAGTAAAAAGAAGGTGCTCCTTCCCTGGGGTCCCTTTTTATTCCACTTAGCCTGACTACTGTCCTGAACTGGCAAACACAGATAACAGCTTTCTCCCCAGCCTCTGAGAAGCATGACGGCATAACGACAGTTGGGGTTGAAGAGCCTAAAGCTGCCACACAAACACATTTGCTGTCCCTGGGGAAATGGAATGTGAATTGGGTTTTCTGAGCCTGAGAAAGAGAAGACTGAAAGTACTTTAACGTAAAATCTTGTAGCATATGAAAGTGGATGGGTGTGTTTTTTTCCTCCTGAACAGAACAATGGTTTTGAATGCTTACAACAAAAGATTGAAAGTAGTTTTTAGGGTGAAATAGGAATTTTTAGGGGTGAAATAGGCAAGTTTAGGAAATTGTAAAAATGAAGGGGTCCAGGGGAAAATACAAGGCCACAGAGTTGCAAAAGGGTACATTTCCATAAGACAAGGGACCTGGAAGTAGCAAAAGGTACACATTTATAAAATAAAGGAGGAAGAAAAGCCCAGAGGGATAGGAGAACAATAGGGAGAGGAAGGAAGGAACTTCCCAAACTTCGTGTGAGACTTGAGCTCAGGAGTTGCTATAGTGATCAAATCAAAGGGGACTAGTAACCAATCAGGGGATATTGAGGCACAAAAAAATTGCAGCCTTTATAAACTGTTGGAAAAAGGGACTCTTTCCCCCTACCCACATAAGAGTCTGTGCTTCTCAATAAATGTCCACCTTTGTTATACCACCTTTCACCCATGGTCTCTTTCCTTCTTCAGCTCCACCTGATAAGAGCCTAGGAACCATCCTGCCCAGGGGAACACCGTGTGGTGCCCATCCAAATTTCCCGTTTCAACATTTAAGTACTCTTAAAGCAGGAAATCTTTTCCCTGCACAGCATGAGAAAGGGAAACCCTCGCATGCTCTACTGAGCACATGTCCATGCGTCTGTGTCTGGGGATAATAAACACGTGCCCAGTAAATCTAGCCCTTTACCTTTTCTGAGTGCAGGAAGCAGGGCTCCTGGGGTTCCCCTCAGTGCCTCTTTTTAGGGGCACTTAATATTTTGGGTCACATCAAGTTAGAATGTGCTTCTTGGCCCCTTTTGAAATGCTTGGCCACTTCTGTTCAACCAGCATAACTTACTCATCTCTCATCAGAGAGGGAGAGGCATGGGACCTAGGTTTATTGAACACCTACTATGTGCTGGGCCCTGAAGATAGGCAAACTAAGATTGAGAGGCATGGCCAGGCCTCTGGCCAGCCTGACTCTAAGCACCACCACCAGCCCCTCTGTGGCACACTCCGAAGCCTTCAGAATGTGCAGTCCCTAGCTTTTCAGAGACTCTCTCTTCCCGGACTATTTGTTCCAGTTTGATGGTGACTTTATTTAGGTGATAACAGAAGCACCCTGCTGTTTTATGAGGTGATAATCCAAGCCCTGTGTGGATAACTATTCTCTTAGGTTGAGTGGTTTATCCTGCTGATAAAAAAAGAGGTAGATTATTGTTCGGGAAACATCCAAAGTCTTCTGTTCATTCCTGCTTTAGATAAGCACACTGGCTTTTAGCAGAGGCTTCCCCGGAATCCCAGATCTAGAGAAGCCTGCAGGGCCTCCAAGCAGAGCCAAGCGGGTGAGGGATTGTTCTTCCCTTGCAGTTGGCTGAGGCTGGAGGAAGTCACCTGCAACTGTGGAACCTGGTTCCTTTCCTTTCATCTGAACATCTACAGGGATTACAGGGTGATCAATTGTTTCCTAAAACCGCCCTCCCTACCCCCCACAGGGACTGTTCTGGTTTGAGAGTCCTGTATTCCAAAACCCTCAGTTCTGTCTTAGCAAACCAAAATGGTTAGTAATCCCAATTAAAACTTCATCTGAGCCGGGACTGGTTTGGCTCAATGTATAGAGCGTCGGCTTGGGGACTGAAGGGTCCCGGGTTCAATTCCGGTCAAGGGTATGTACCTTGGTTGCGGGCACATCCCCAGTAGGGGGTGTGCAAGAGGCAGCTGATCGGTGACTCTCTCTCATCAATGTTTCTAACTCTCTATCTCTCTCCCTTCCTCTCTGTATAAAATCAATAAAATATATTTTAAAAAAATCAACCTTTTAAAATAAAATAAAATAAAATAAAACTTCATCTGAAAGAAATCATCCAAAGACAAAAAGGACTGGGAAGCAGAAACTAAAGCAGAAGTGTAGTAAAATAATAATAATAATAATAATAATAATAATAATAATAATAATTTACTATCCCTAGGCATTTGAAGCCACTTGGATATTTTTCATGTATTTCCTGGTGACCAAATGGGATCTTTGGAAGGTCCAGAAAAACAAACAAAAAGTCTATTAAATGGGGACTGGATAAATAAAATCAGGAGCCTCCATCACTGAAATAAAAAGCAGTCTTAAAAATGAATAAGAGTTCATGTTGCATAATCTCCAAAATTGGAAAAATAAAATAAATCTCTTGCATATATAAACCATTTATGGAAGGGTACTACTAATTTGTTATTGCTGTGTAAAATGTTATTACAAACTTAGTGGTCAGAACAATGCACAAGTACACTCTCGAAATTCCCGTGGGGCAGGGGGCAGGACATGGCCAAGCTGTGTTCTCTACACGGTGGTGATCAGGTGGCAGTCAGGACTGATTCTCATCTCAAGATGTGACTGGAGAAGGATTCGCTTTCAAATTCACATGGCTGTTGGCAGAATCCACTTCCTGTGGTTCCTGGACCGACACGAGGTGCCTGTAGGTTTTTGTCACGTGGGTTTCCCTAGCATAGCTGTTCGCTTCCTCAAAGCAAACAATAAAGGAGGAAACTCAAGCTGAGAGCTGCATTCTTGTACAACTCAGTCATGTAACTGGGTGGAGACTGACTTTCTTGTAAAATTTAACAAGTACATGGATTACTTTTATTTATTAAAATACAGCATTCAATAACAAATTTCACTAATTAGCTAAGAGTATAAAATATAAGACCAAGGACAGTGCATTTTGATCAGTTGATAATCATCATCATCACCTCTTATCCTGGTGTTGCAGAAGATCAAAGAAAACCAAAGACGCTTCTAAGGAAGAGGAGGGACACTGTTTAATATGCTGGCGGACTCAAGGAACAGCCTTCCAAATCTGAGTGAAGGAACATGCATGGGGCCCTCCCTTATATCTCCCTGTGGTCTTATCCCACAAACATGGATTATATTTCCGGTCCTTTTCTCGGGCCTTGCAAGAAGGTCCCCAGGTGTTGGGGCTCTGCAGGCCATATCTGGTGGTCTGGCCTGGCGCCAGTGTTAATAACCCTCCCTCCGAGACAGTGCACTGTCCACAGCCCCATGGCCTCTGTAGCCAGTTCTGCAAGACCAGTAAGTGGGAAGGAGGTGGTGACTGAATTATAGGTTATCAAGAATGTACACTGAGCTTGCTGGCATGGATTCAGATCAATATCCCCCAAATATCAGGATTACATTGGAATTAGCCCTTTTTAGCCTTCTCACCGGCACTATATGTGGTCAGTGACAGCTCAGCACCAGTGCCTGGCCATGTAGATAAATTTCACTTGTACATGAAAATCAAGGTATGTCTTATGGCACCTTTAAGACTTTGTGAACAAGCTCTATTGTCATCTTTTAAAAACATTGTTATGACATATTCACTTGATTGGGGAGGGTATATTGTGGTAAATGGTCCATTCAGTATTAAAGAGTAAAGCAGATCAAATATATTGATGATATATATGAGGAGACTACAAGTTCACCTACGGATGGGCATCAGGATGTACTAAAAAGGTGCCTAGAAAACAAACTACTATTAATATCTCATAAATCCCTCAGGTGACCCACAGACCACTAACATTGGCATCACCTTGGAACTTGTTGAAAATGTAGAGTTTCTATTCTTATCCCAGACTGAGTGGATCAGAATCTGCATTTTAAAAAGATTTAAATGCATATTAAAGTTTGAGATGTTTGGGGATGGACCACTGCACACTAGTGTACAATACACACTCAGAAAAACTTATCACATTTTCACAGGAAATATCTACCCAGGAATGCTTATTACTGCTTATAATAGAAAAACAAAACTGGAAAAATACAGCTGATAGATTATCTGTTGAAAATTGCAAAAAAAATTGCAGTGTATTTATCAAAGGAACACTACAAGAAATTATACACAAACTACAGCTACGTATATCAGGGATATACATATAAGTGGACTTATGGATAAAGCCTAAAAAGATGATCCCAAACAAAACAAAATAAACATTAAAAAAAAGTTGCAGGAAGGAACATAGAACACAATATTATTTATGTAAAGTTCAAAGACTAGGTGTATAGATGCATACATAAGTAATGGAACAAGCCAGATAACAAATTTAAGACAGTGATTTCATTTGGGAAGAGGAGAAACACAATTAAGAAGGAGAAACAAGCCCTAACTAGTTTGGCTCAGTAGATAGAGCATTGGCCTGCAGATGGAAGGGTCCCAGGTTTGATTCCGGTCTAGGGCATGTGCTTTGATTGTGGGCACATACCCAGTACGGCATGTGCAGGAGTCAGCCGATCAATGTTTCTAACTCTCTCTCCCTTCCTTTCTGTAAAAAAAAAAAAAACAAAAAAAAATAAATAAATAAAATATATTTTTTTTTTTTTTAAAAAAAAGGAGAAACAAAGCATTTTCAGTATGCCTTTTTCAGATTGGGTGGAAGATACATAGGTGTTAGCTATATTTTTCCTACTTTTTTATATACTTGAAACATTTCATAACAAACAAGAAAAAATATTCAGCTTTTCCAGATGATGCCAAATTGTTTTCAAAATACATGTGCTGATTTCTAATCCAACAAGCAGTGGAAGTAGGGTTTCCATTACTCCACATCCTCACCCAGTCTTGGTTGATCAGTTTTAATTTTTTGCCAGTCTGTTAGGCATGTATGACATGGTATCATATGGCTGTTTTAATCTTCTTTACTCACTTTATAAATGAACTATGCCTATTGACTATCAGTTTTCCTGTTCTGTGAATTACAGCTGCACATAAAAAAAAAATTTTTCTTATTGGCTTATAAGAAACTCTAATTAAGTGCACTAAGAATGCAAGCTGACATCCTTGTAACTATCTCTCTTAAACCAGAGAGAGCAAAGGCTAATGGGAAATGTCTAGTGGGATTCTGGTTACAAATTGGGTCACCTCTTAGGTTTACCATTCAGTCAATATCTTAAGGTATGCCCACATTGATGTGACTCTTCTTTATTTAAAAATACAGTAAAAGTAATTAATTAAGCAACAAAATGCATAGGATTAGAAGCCCTATGTTTCTCCATGGTTACATTTTACTTTACAGAGCTTCACAATTTTATTCATTTTTTACTATAATTTTGTGTGTGCTTTTAGGGGGGAAAGGATGCTGGGGGCAACTTTGACATAAATTAGCAACCAGATTTTGTATTAGTCTTTTTTTTTTTTTTTTTAAGTGACCTTTAAGAAAATGACAGTTTTGGGAAATTACTTAATGAAAGAAATTCCTTTTTTTGTGTTTGATATAGTACTTTTGTAGCTGTCACTGTTTATATCCTAAAAGAAAGGCACATTTTTTAATTTAAACTGAGAGGAATCAATTTCTTTAGAATGCTGGAAAATCCTTGTGCTTAAACGATTAGAAAATCTCATTTATGTGATGGATGTTCCTTAGAAAAATTTTGGTAGCAACCCAAAGAGAGCTGTAGTTCCATTTATAATGGAGAACGTGGTATCGCTTTGGTGAGTGAGACCTATTACTTTAAGTAATAACGGGCTTTCTCTCAGCCCCATAGTGCAACTGGGATTTTTAAGCATTGCAAAAGAGAAATTCCACAGACAAGTGCTATTCTGCTTAAATCTGAGGTCTAACTCAGATTCCAGGAACTGGCTGTATTGCTCTAAGATTTCAGCCATGTCTGTAGCCTTTAAGGACCCTTGACCATTAGGCCAGACATTCTCATCCTGGAATACTGACCCATGAGGGTTTTATTTTGTTTGCTCTTTGATTGTTTTTTTTTTTATTATTATTATTATAAATCCATAGATTTAAATATATTTACTGTGCTGTATGGATATTCACATGGTAATAACCAGCTCCTCAAAGGGGTAGTATTAGGAGGTGGGCCTTTGGAAGATAATTAGGGTTAGAAGAGGTCATACAGGTGGAGCCCTTATAGATGGGATTAGTGCCCTTATACGAATCACCAGAGAACTTGCTTATTCTCTCTGCTGTCTGCCATGTGAGGGTACAAGGAGAAGGACTCTCACCACACCTGACCATGCTGGCACCCCGATTTCAGACTCTCAGCATTCAGAAAGATCAGGGATGTCTCTTGTTCATAAGCCACCCAATCTGTGCTATTTCTGGAACAGCAACCATAATGGAGTAAGACATTGGTTTCTTTTTTTCCATGGTTCTTATTAATGGTCTAATTTCTTCATCTTTGCCCAGTAGGAGCTAATTCAGTTAGGTTCTTTTGGTGTGAACAATATATCCAGGCTCATTCTGTCTATATCCTGCCTCAGACCTAGAATAATTTATTTCTCACAAGATCCCTGGTTCCTTTTATTATTTATGGGCCACATTCTGGGCAGTAGTGATATAATGGTAAATGGGTTGGTCATTGTTGCTAGCCTTTTCAGTGGTCATAGAAGGAAATAATATGTTTTTCTTAAATACAAAATGCAGCATCAATTCATTATACTATTTACAATTCAAATCAGGCCTATGAAGTTTCCTTGTATCGCCTTTCAACTATGCTGAAAAAACTCACATAATTACTTATTGTATACTTTGTATACTGTTCATAAAACATACGGAAAAATCTCAGAATAATTATATTCCCATTGCCTCCCACAAAATAATTGCTGGAAACAATTTAAGACATTTTTTATAGTCCTTTTTACCTCAGAGCATGTCCTAGTAGGGTTAGGCAATGAATTTACTCTTGTTCTTTAATTTTCACCTGAGGATATGTTTTTAAAATTGATTTTACACACACACACACACACACACAGAGAGAGAGAGAGAGAGAGAGAAACATCAATCGGTTGCTTCCCCCACCACACACCCTACTGGGAATCAAACCTGTAGTCTAGGTTTGTATCTGACTGGGAATCAAATCCACATGCAGTCTTTTTGGTGAATGGGACAATGATCCAAACAACAGACCCACCTGGCCAAGATTGAATTTATTGTCTTTTAAAGTCATTTGGAATAACTCTTATCAGCGTGGTTTTTGTCACAGAGACACATAGTTAAACTATTCATTTCATTTTACTTTCAATTCTAAGTCATTACATTTTAATTTATGTAAATGCTGTTGAAATAAACTATCTAAATGGTTCCAAAGTAAAAACAACAATGTAGGATGTATTCAAGGCAGTCTCTCTTGTATCCCACTGTGGTCTGGTTCCCCTTCAATCTGTCTGGACCTTGCACGCATTATACTAGTAGTCTTTTCAAAATGCGGCTCCTGTCACCCCTGCTTCCTGCTTAAAAGCATTCACTCACTGCGTCAACCACTTTACAACGGTCTGCTTGGCTCTGCGTGAGCGAGCCCTTGCCTACCTCTCCAGCCTCATTCTCCATCCTTACTCTTGATGCTCCAACTAAAACGAAATGCATTCAGAGCCTTGAAAGTACCAAGCTCAGCAGCACTTTTGAGTTTTTGCCAATCTCATTCCCTCTGTTTGAAACACTCCATTGCCTGCATTCTGTCTGGGAGTCTGTCTAAATCCTACTCACCCTCTGCTATCAGCCTGATAGCTCTCCCCCCAGGCAGCCTCCACCTGGACTAGAGTCCTCCTTCATGTGCCCAGGGCCCTCCACAGACTTAACATCCCACACACTGTTCCATAATTGCCTGCTCATGTGTCTCACTCTCCACTGAAATGGAAGCTCTGTTAGGACAGGGATTTTGTCTATTTGGTTCACCATTTTAACACCAGGGCTGACAATCTTTTCTTTGTGAGCAGCTGGGGGCTTTTGTGCATTCTACATCCTGCACAATCGCACAAGCAGCCCTGCTTACCACGAAGTATTTACTCATTAAATATCTATTGAATTAATTTAGTGATCCCCTGTTTTGGCACTTACTGGTACTTACTAATAGCTTTATTGCTGATTTTCTTTTCCTCTTTTTCCCTTTTGAAGCATCCTTTAACAATTAATTTCTCTGATGATGATGGCTGTACCCTTTTCCAAACAAACAAATGGAGGCTTGCAGGCTAATTTCATTAGGGAAGTCACACAGCCCACACCCTCACAAAGGTGTCCCTTAATCTACCAAAAAAGGAATGTGCTTTTTATTTGAAATGTGACTCCTTCTACTCTCAGTTCTCCGAAGGAATGAGCGGTGTAGAAGAGGACAGGATGGAACCATTCCCATTTGCTCTGCAGACAGCAAGCCCTGAACTTCACCTGCTCCAATGGGTGAGGGAATTTGGAAGCATCAAGATCACAATCACTGCTGTGAAATTTCACTCCCATTGTTCCTTTTGTAAAGCGCCCTGCTGCGGCCAATCTTCCTGTGGAGCTCAAAACCACCTCCCTTCCCCTGACTTCCCAAGGGCTCTGCCTCCCCCCGACAGGATGCTCTCCACAAAGAGAACCTTTAGATGCATCAAAGAAATAAGTCACTTGAGAAATAAGTCACAAAACCTCCTTTCCTCCACATCGTGGAAAGAATTGTCATAATTGAGGTTCTTCAAAATACCAAGATATTACTTTTGAATACTTCTGCCCACATCCCATTACAATGTAGCCTTGCAGATAATGAGGGAGGTGCCCCGGAGTGCCACATTCTAAACACCAGATCTATTCCCTCAGCCTCTGGTCACCAGTCTTATGCCCTTTCAGGAGGACCTAAGACACAACAAGTCTGGAGAGACTGCACTGATGAAGTATTTTTGGAACTCTGTTTAAGGAACAGAAAGAAAGACTTTAATATGTAGTGAGGAGAGAATCTGGACTTAAATCTATCTCCTCTTGAAGAATTCTTCCCAAGGCCCTGTATTGCTTCCTGAACTGTCTATATGAGCAAGTATCTTGTCTTTTAAAGTCTGAAATGACATCATCAAACAAGCTCATCTCTAAAAGAAGATAAAAACTTGTATAACTATGGAGGTGGTCAGCTGCCATTCAACATTTAGACGTGTTAACGGTGATAATAGCAGTGAGAGCAATATTTTATCGACTTCAAGAATTGAGCAAATACATGAAGGTGAAAATATCCTCTAAAGGGCAGATTTCAACAAAAAACTTAATGGCTATGGAACAATCTTAATCTCCCCCATTGATTATTAAAATCATGTTGTGTGGCTTCAGCTTGCATCTGCACAGTGAGAACTCCTTGTAGTCAAAGGAATTTCAAAAGCTAATGAGTGACTAGTAAGTGTGCCTCCATTCTAAAACCCAAACTTGGATAATTCAACATGTTAGATATCTCTTTTCAATGTATGCCAAGCAGAAGGTTTCAAGGGTCTTTAACTAGCATGCAAATCCCACAGAGAAAAGCTGATGGCATGACAACAGGAAGGTTCAAGAAGAGGACTACCTTTGGAGAACCAAGAACCTGACATATTATTTTAGTCACCTAATCTACCATCTTGAGCACTCATTCTACAGCTAAGGCCTTTGCTTCATCTATGAAATAGGGATGATAGGCTCTGGTCCGTAGTTGAGTTGGTTAGAGCATCGTCATGATAATGCCAAGGTTGTAGGTTTGATCCCTAGTCATGGCACATACAAGAATCAACCAATAAATGCATAAATAAGTGGAACAACAAATCTATATATCTTCCTCTTTCTCTCAAATCAACAAATAAAAAAAATTAAGTAAAATGGGGATGGTAAAAAATGTGTATGTTTATGTACTAGTATGTATGTATGTATGTATGTATGTATGTTCATAATATATGAAGAATATTGTGCATAGTGCCTGACAGATACAAGGGACCTAGCAAACTGTTGTTATATTTTATACAGCCACAATAAGAAGCCAAACTAAACTTGTAAAAAGACAAGTCCAGTGGAGGTAGCAGGGTCCTTGCCCCACCAATCAAGGAGAGGAAGCTACTATTTATTTGGCCTTAGTGGATGTCAGGGTCTTTGATGGGCATGATCTCACTCAGTCAGTATAACAGCCTAGTAAGGTGTGGCAGAGAGCACTTCCAAAGCCGGCCTGCTGACATAAATGACTGTGGACTTGCTCCTATAGCACATTGCCAGCTCAGGGTGATTGAGGCTAGGCCAGCCACTGAGTTAATCTCTGGGGCATCTTGAATGTTTTTAATAAAAATTCAGATATTCCAGAAATAGTTTTTAACTCTGCAGTTCCTTTGTACATCTAATTATTTCCCTGATTCCACATTCATAAAATATGGACCTTAGCTTCTCTGCTTCTCATTTTGTTTGAGCACACTACAAAGAAAATCAAATTTTAATAATGACCATTATTATATGTTTACATATAATGAGGCTATTTTCATGTTCTCACAGATGGCCTGGAATAACTAAACATTATTACAACCAGTTCGTATAAATGTGGAGTGTCTCTATTGGGTTTCTTTGATCTCTATCAATAAAATATTATTGTTTTTGACAATCGTGTTTTTAATAAACTTTATGCTACACTGAAAATTTGCTAGGATTGTAAATTGCTCATGGGTTTTGTTTTTGCCATTTTGGAAGGGAGTGAGGAGAACGATTCTGATGGTGAGAATCGTCCTTGCTAGAGGTTAATAGATTTGGATTGCTCATTAGTTAGCTGGGATCTAAGAAAGTTAAGAGGATGCAAAGTCAACCTTGAAAAGAATCTTGGCTCCTGGTTGTCTCTTCAGCTCATCTCCTATCATTGCTCTAAACATTTTTCCTCCACCAAGTGTTAAGAGCTCATATTCTTAATTCTTACTTGTGTCTGTACCTCAAAACAATGTAAAGCTACCCCCCCCCCCAAAAAAATATATATATATATGGCAGCCTGCACTAAGGTAGTATCCAGTTGGATAGAGACTAAGTAAGATTAGGAAACTAAGTATGACCAGATCCTGGGGCCTAGTGTTCCCCATCTAAACTCTGTCCCAGCATAGAGAAGATCCTTTGCTATCTGCTGCATTCATCTGCCCATCCTCTTCTGGCACTGCCTTGGGCACAGTGAACCCCAGGTACCCTCCATCACTTACAGTTTGCCACTTGTTCTACATTCACCTCCAAGAGGCTCTATTTACCTGGGATGCTTTTCTCCCACATCTAACTTCTGTCGTTTTCCAGAATGTTGCCTTACCTGCCTTCCCTAGTAGAGTTCAGCACTTTTGCCTTGCTTTGCAAAATGCCCTTTAAATACCTTTCAGTTATGACATAGTTGGGTGAAAAAATAATTATTTTGTTCTTGGCACTGGAGTTCCTATTAGGGAAAGGACTGTTTTTATCGAGGAAGCTGTAGCTAACAGAAAATAAGGCCTTAAGGATGGGCCAGCAGGAACAACACACAGACAGATTAAAGAGCTGTGACTCAAAAAGTCAGTGTGGAGCTGGGAGAGAACAGAGGAGGTTGGGTGTGCTGGTGGTGGTGGTGGGGGGCTGGAGGGAGGGACTGAAGAGATCAAAAGCTCGTGGTAGGAAGTTGAAATGTAGGTTGCCAGAATCAGCAGATGGTTTTATGAAAAGCAAAATCTAATATTTAATTTAAATCTATCTACCATGTGCTTGTGAGACACAAGCCTGCATGCCATTCCTCCCTCTCATTCCCAGGGAAAGTCTGCTCCTTCTGGTGGCATCCTGTGAGCAGAACTTCAGGGTAGGAAGGAAACAGATCTGTGACCCATATTTTTAGTTGACACCAAGACAGCGAGAAAGGGGCAGACATCAAAGAATACAGAACAAAGAAAAAGAAATTCCAAAGAAACTGGGTCATCCGAGTTGGTAAGGAAATTTAGAGAAAGAAATAGAAATAGCATCCTTCCCCATTCCAAACCCCTGCCTGCCTTTCCCACTGTGAACCATAAACCAGTAATTTCCCACCTGTGAAATTAGACAGATAAACTTGATGGTCCCTCAGGGCCCTTCTAGCTTTAATATTCTATGATTCTAAGCTTTTCGCCAAGCTTGGGGAAACTGGTAAAACTTATGTCCTGGTGTGAAAAAATATTTGGTGCTTTGAATTAACTTGATTAGGCACTGGAGATGACATAAATAATGACAATCGTTTCACACTTCTGTGAGGAAAAAAAAAAAAAAAGAAGTAAATTAAGAGAAGTATTTTCATAGAACCAAACAATGGCTTACTCAGATTCTTCCAGCAGTTGTGTAGCGTCTGCTCTAAAAATTACAATATGTTTTGAAATACCTGCTTCAGTGTATATGCAATATGTGTCAAACATTTATGTAATTATGTTATTTTAAAAAATGGTTCCAGTATCTGTGGATAAAAACAAGCCTATATAAGCAAAAATATTAACGTCCCATTCTCTCCAAACCTGGCATGTTAAAGTTGATCAACATAAGCTGTCAGGTAGCAACCCAAGATAAGGGCTTGGTCAAACCAATTGATTAAAATGTAATGATTTGGAAGGAAAGTATTATATTGTTTATCTTCCAGAGGTAATTATCTGATTGTGTTTAAGTAGCGTTAGTCACAAAGAACTATTGTTGGGAAAAATCGGTGTGAGGTGGTTGATTCTACTCTACACAAATGGAAGGTCTGTCTCGGAATGGGGAAACTGAGGCAAGGAGAAAAAAGACACTTGCAATCTCTCAAATGAATAGATATTGATGTAATTACGTTAACCTGCCATTGGTCATATATTAACTAGATGTACACAGAACCAGTGGGGGCCATTCTAGAATCTTGGGCACCACGAGTGAAAGCTGAGCCCACAGAATCTGGGAAACAACCTGAGTTCAAGTGTGACTCTGACACTTACTGGTTGTGTGATCTTAGTTACTATCCGTGCTTCAGTTTATTCTTATGTAACACCGGGTTATAAATAATAGCTCCTAACCCTTGGGTTTGTCTTGGGGGGTTAAATAAATTGATACAAATCATGTATCACTGTGCTTATCACATAGTAAGAACTCTGTAAATATAAGCTATACTTTTGACTTAAAAATTTTGTCAGAAAGAGAAATTTAGATAGATTATTAATTGCAAAAAAAAATAAGCAAGTGTTCTTTTTTGTGACACAGAGAAAAATAAAGAATGTAAAGACAATATGATATAATAATAGGGGGAAATATAGGCGCCTGAGCAGACAGAGGGAGTTACTATGCGTTTCTGGTCTACTGTAGTTCAGACAGTGCGCCAGACATGTGGCAACTCACCCAAACTTTCTAACACTGTGAAATGTAGTTGATAATCTCTGCCTTGCAAGTGAAGGGCTAGAGGGCTCAGGGATGCTCAGTCCCTTAGCTAAGATCACAGAGCCAGTGGGTGAATGAGTCAGGATGAGACTCAGGTCTGTTGACTCAAACTTGTGGTGTTTACACTGCATCCTGCATCTGTCCTCAGATGAGGTCGTGGCAATTTGAGGCCAGCTGAGGGAAGCAGGAATCTTTAAACTCTATGGTCTCAGGCCACTTCACACTCATAAAAAAGTACTGAGGGCTTAAAGAGCTTTGGCCATTGTGATCAACATGTAGCATCTAAGAAATCAAAGATACAATAGTAAGATATGTACACATATAATACCTTAATTAAAAAAATGAAAAAAATCAAAGATGAAAAAATTAAAGTTATTAACTTAAGAATGACAACAACAAACCCATCATATGTTAGCCCAAATAATATATATTGCTGAAAAATAATTACATTTGCCAAAGTTGAAAATATCTGTGAGAAGAGGGGCATTGTTTATAGTTTTGTTTTTTTTTAACCTTTGCACACCCCCTACTGGGGATATGCCCGCAACCAAGGTACATGCCCTTGACCGGAATCGAACCCAGGACCCTTCAGTCCCCAAGCCCAACCTCTATCCATTGAGCCAAACCGGTTTCAGCTTTTTTTTTTTTAACTTTCTTGATCTCTAAAGTGTTATTTTGAAATAAATGATTAGAAAACTTCAGATTGATGCTCAGATAAACTTGGTAAATAAAATCCTAAATTTATATGATTTGACTAAATATAAAAATCTACCTTTTGAAGTGTTTTCTTTGTGTGGGAAGGGGTAATAGGCAAATGCTGCGAATACAAATAGTGCCACAGGAAAAATATACAATCTGGATGAAAATGTGTATGGGTAACAAGAGCTAACATTTATTTAGTTTTCACTCTTATATGAGGTATTCTTCTTTTTTAAAAAAAAATATATTTTATTGATTTTTACAGAGAGGAAGGAAAAGATATGGAGAGTTAGAAACATAGATGAGAGAGAAACATGGATCAGCTGCCTCCTGCACACCCTCTACTGGGGATGTGCCTGTAACAAAGGAATATGCCCTTGACCGGAACTGAACCCGGAACCCTTCAGTCTGCAGGCTGATGCTCAATCCACTGAGCCAAACCGGTTTTGGCCGAGGCATTCTTCTTAACCTGTGCATGGATCCAAGTCAACTGCAATGGGATGCCTACATTACTTGGGTTTACAGATTACTGCATGTCACTCAGACAACACGAAGTGCTAATCGATGTTAAAGCTATTATATTATTAAAATAACAGATGATAGAAATACTAGCAAGACATATTCATTGATTATAGAAGCAGTTCAAATAGTGGTTAAAATTATAGAACCCGAGACATATTGCTCCAATTCCACTTTATTTCCACTGTTTCTTACTTGTGTGACTTGGGCAAGTCCCTTATTCTATGTGCTCCATTTCCATCCGTAAAATGGATATAATGATAATACTTTCTAATTCATAGGGTTGTAGCATTAAATGAGTTCATACATATGAAGTGCTTTCAGCCAAGTATTACAAAGGATTTGCTATCATCACCATAACCATTACCATTTCATGTTTATAGTGTCTAATGGCTTCTTTTGATTCTGGTTTGAAATTTCTTCCTTGTAGTCTATGTCAAGCTGAGCACGGAATAAAGAATTAAGCACAAGGGTCGAA